ACTCAAGAAAGATATCAGCCTTATGATACTCCCGATACTTATGAAGCTAGAATTCGACTACTAATAATAGGAGTAGCGGACGATGATGCACAAGTTTTAGGTTTTCTTAAAAATCATTTACCAGGTGAGCTTTATACGTGGATGAAAATTGCTAATTCAGCTGGTATTAATGAATTTTTCACTGAATTAAAAAATATGTGGCTAGAACGTACTCCAAATTTGAATGAAGGTAAAGTTTATCAACAATCTTCCTATAACCCTAAAATAGCTGTAAAACAGTTGCCTTCGGCAATAGAAGCTCCAGTAATTTCGCAATCACCTGATATACAAAAAATGATTAATGAGGCATTAGCAAAACAGAAATCTGATTCCGATGCTGAGATAGAAAAATTAAGAAAGGAAGTTCAATCTCAAAAAGCACAGAAAACTCAGGCAACAGTTTCGCAAACCGTTGAACCGGTTAGACAGCCAAGAGGCCCCCCATCAAATTTAAAAACAGAAAAAGATTATGAAAATTATTATTTAGCAAAATTCTTTAACAATTTAGGTATATATGATTTAGATTCAAATTATCCTGAAAAACCTTTTCAAAGATCTCGTCCACAGCAAAAAGATAACTCTATGAGATTAGAGGAGAAAGTAGATGAAATTGGACATATTTTATCTCATCTTAATATAAACAATCAATCCAAAAAACCGATAGCCAAATCAAATCGAACACAACGATATTATCCCTTTCAACCAATAAAATATAACTTTTCAGCTAATAATGAAAATAGTGGATATAATGAAGAAAATGATATATGGTACGATGATGATTCCGAAAAAAAAAACGAGTACCAGTAAATAAAAACTTATTTCAAAGAAATGACTCTTCAAGTCTACCTGGTAACTCTGCTAACCCTTCTTCTGATCTAGCAACTATCCACCCCGAAACATATGATCAGTTATTGTCTAAGCTTTCACCAGCAATGCGAAAAATGTGTCAGTCTCATACAGTTCAGAAAAAAGAATCAGATGAGTGGTTTTCATCTCTACAATACCTAAATGCTAGTATAAACGATTTATCTATTTCTGAATCATTTTTAGATAATGGAAGTGAATTTGGAGCCTTGAATGATGCAACAATTAATGCCCTCGGATGGAAAGCCGACAAGCCATCTGACTTCGATATAAAAGGTAACTCTAAACATGTCACCGAATCGTTGGGATGGTTTACGGATGTGCCAGTCAGTATAAAGGATAAGGATGGTAAAACTGTTACAGCTACTGGAAATTTTACACGTATTAATAATGGTGAACCTGAACCAATGTTATGTTTAGGTATGACATGGATTCGAAAAGTTCAAGGTATTCTTGACCCAAATAAAAACCAATTCCGAATGAAATTACATGGTAAGTCTTATATTATTCCAACATTCAGCAAGACCCCATCTAGCTTGACTAATAAGGAAGACCTAAAAAAAAATGCGATGAACTTGAAAAGCGACTCATAAAGACTGAAGAGTGGCTTGATATGGCTTTAAAAGCAGGTAAAGTTCTTGCAGAAAGATGTTCTCAGCTTACTGAGACAAAGATGGGAGCATAGGAGCTAATCTTTCAGTATCTTTCATTAATTTTTCAAGATCGTTTTTCCTTCTAGATATATTATTGCTTTGCAACGTGACTTTGTCCTTATCAGAAGAGACACTTTTTTTTACCGCACGTGAGGAAGTAGAATCTTGAGGAAGCTGAGCTTCAAGTCTTTGACTCATCTTTGGTCGTGTTGTCTCTGCTGATTTATCTAGTGAAACTCTAGAGTAAATCGTATCATTTATATTAGATGAATTATTGTCAGAGGTAGACACATCATGGCTGGATATACTAGACTGTACTTGTACACTTTGTGCATTATGCAAAATATTTAAATTTTGATTAGAGTCATCATCATCATCGTGGGGTATAGGTTGATCCCAGAGAACTCTATTAGCTTCTTCCCCTCTCCAAATCTGATAAATACGTTTTGTTGATGTTTTATACTTACCCATCAAGTCATTTAAAATTTTATATCTTGGTTTTATATCACGACATTGCATAATATAAGAATAATCTTCCCGAGAAAATAGGGGTGCATCAGATCGTATACGTACTCTAGGCATAGCAGTAAATGTAAATATAAGATGTTTATATCTAACAAAAAATATAAAATATATCGAAATATTAAAATATATTGGAAAGATAGAATATACAGAATAATATTATTCATTTTTCTATATAACAGATATGTATATTCGATCTAATACATCATAACTGATATGTATATTCCATCTAATACATATATTCTATATAATATATTACATTCAAAATACAAATATATTAATTTTTTTAGATATCTACTGTATAAGAATTGGATAATATGCCTCGAATCCATACATTATCAGATATAGGTGAATGCAAAAAACTTGGAGACATACCATCAAACCGATATCCGCCTAGTCGAACGGAACTTGAAAACCAGCTTGCTTGTGCAAATCGAGATCGAGAAATTGCTATAGAGTGTGGCAATCGACTTGCTAATAAATGTTCTGTCTTAGATAAAGACAATAAGCGTATACAACGTGATCTAAAACAATCTAATAATGATAAAGAGAAACTCTCCAAGCATACCTACCAGCTTATAAATGAGGTTAAGCGATTGAGCTCAGAGTTAGATAGTCTAATATCTCAAATTACCCGCAAAGATATTTCTCTTAATGAATCTAAAATTAAGATAAAAGATCTTCAGTCTAAGATAAAAATATTGGAAACGAAACTATCTTCAACTCAGAACGAATCAAAGGAAAATACAGCACTTCGGTCTATGAAAAAAATATTAGAAGGTAAGTTAGAATCGGCTCAAAAAGATGCATTCTCAACTCAGGAAGAGATACTAAAAAAAGAATCCGAAATCATATCTCTCAAGTCTGAATTAACAAATACAAAGAATGAAATAGTGAATACAAAGAATGAATTAGCCTCAAAAATTAATGAGATTGAGTGTTTAGGCGCTTTGCGCCCTGCTGTTTCACAGAAAACAAAGGATATATTGGATCCTGTAGTTATGGGAGGGCACTGTACATCTGAATCTAAAAATCTTGCAAAATATTTTAAAAGTAAAACATTACCAATTATCACAAATAAGCAGAATCCAGAGTCATTGATTCAAGATATTACAATAAAAGGAGCAGTATGTGCTGGCGAGGCTTTAGTTAATGATAAGTATCAGATTCCTCCTATTATTAGCGTGAGCAAGCCTTTGGCTAAAATTGTCATTATTGCAATAATAGTGATATTAATTATTTGGTATATATATAGGAATATTTTTCATCCACGCCTGCCTTCTCGGTCTTTGAACTCGAAGCCAGATTATAGCCACCGTATGACCGCCTCCGGCAATTTGTTTTCTGGAGTATACTCACAGAGTGAGGGCACTAATGTGCCTAAACCGACCATGAACGAACAAAGTGAAGTGAATTATCAGGGGGGAGAAATTTTTTATCCAATCTATAGAAATCATAGTTATGAATTCCCAATCCGTCATACAAAAAAACCAAAAGAAAGAAATATCGCAGAGCAGGCCGTTAGGCGATTCTCCGAATCATGGCTCATCGAGCCTACCACCTATGAAACTTTACCTTATGGATATGGATGAGGCTACAAAGCATGAATCATCTCAAAATGTTGGACATCCAGCAATGACATGGCCGTTCAGTAAGGTATTCACTGGTAGAAGTGGTACGGGTAAGACTAATATACTAGGAAATCTTTTTGTTGGTGACAAGGGTGAATGTATATATGAAGAGAAAAAGGATGGATCCCGCTATATACGATGTGATGATTTGATAGTTTGTGGATACCACCCGGATGAACCTAAATGGGCATTTGTTAGATATATATATGGAGTAATTGCAAGTAACCCTAAAGCACCTTATTACGAGAACATTAGATTTAAATATATCTCACCTGAAAAAATTCCTAGCGTAAAATCATTTTCTCCAGAGAGAAGTACTGTAATCATTTTTGAGGATTTATGTGTCGCTCCAGAGACAATACAAAATCGAATTATTCCATTCTTCACACATGGGCGTCATCGAAATATAAGCCCAATATATGTAACGCAAAAATATCACAAAGTTCCAATTATTATTCGTGAAAATATCTCCCACTTAGTACTGTTTAACTCTGGTAGTTCGCGTGAAGAAATATCTAAAATTATTCGTCGATATACTGATGATGTGAAAAATGCTTCCATAGTTATTAACAGATACCTCCGTAAAGGAGAATTCATTGTGTTTGACTTAGACAGGCCAGAAGATGATCCACTTGCAATTAGATTAAGATTCGATACTCCATTAGATTTACAAAAAGAGATTCAACTACAGCTAAAAAACAATGAAAAAGTTATCATTAAGTGATGCATGTATGATTGCTAAAGAACGTGGTGGACTTTGTCTTTCAACTAGATATATTAATAATCGTTCACCTTTGTTATGGCGTTGTACTAGAAAACATGACTGGATGGCGAGTTTTAATGATATAAAAAATGGTAAGACATGGTGCCCATATTGCGCAGGTAATAGACCTCTTACAATTGAGAATGCAAGACAATTAGCTCGTAGTAGAAATGGAACATGTATTTCTGCTGAATACATTAATGCTAATACCCCAATGCGATGGCAATGTGCAAATAGTCATGAATGGACTACATCTCTTCATAATATCAAAGATGGCAAGACATGGTGTCCATATTGCGCAAACAAGGTCAGTCATACAATTGAAGATGCTAAGCAAGTTGCTTTTAGTAAGAATGGAGAATGCCTTTCCGAAATGTATGATAATAGTTTTTCACCTTTATCATGGCGTTGTTCTAAAGGGCATGAGTGGAATGCATCTTTTAACAATGTGAAAAATAATAAGACGTGGTGTCCGTATTGTGCAACTAATAGGCCTTGTACACTTGAAGATGCCAAACAATTGGCTTATAATAGAAAGGGAACTTGTCTTTCTGAATATTATATTAATAATCGTTTAGCTTTATTATGGATGTGTGATAAAAAGCACAGATGGTTTGCTACTTTTGATAACGTTAAACGCTCAAACTCGTGGTGTCCATTCTGTCCAAAATATAAGAGAGAAAAACTGTGTCATGAGATTTTAACAAAGTATCTTGGTGCCCCTTCACCAATCCGCAGACCCGATTTCTTAAAGACACAAGAATATCCAAATGGACTAGAACTTGATATATTTTATCCGCAATATGGCTTCGCAATCGAAGTACAAGGCATACAACACGAAAAATATCACGAATTCTTTCATGGAAGAGATCCCAATAATTTTATCAAACAGCAAGCACGGGATCAACTCAAGAAAGAATTATGCGAAGAGAATTGGATTGCTTTAAGGTATGTTTGGTACTACGAAGACCCATATATAGTTATTCCGGAACATCTTCGAGAATTGGGTCTCATTGAATAAACTCGAAACTTTAAATGTTGATTTATTTTAAACAACGCAAAGTATTATATTTACTATTTTTTTGATTATACATAGTGATTATTATTATGCATAAAGATTAAGATAAACAGATTAATCCATCATTTTGAAACTTAATTACACCTATCTAAGTAACTTTTTCCTTTGCGGACTATCCGGTAAGTCTCGCATATATTGTATTTGCAGTGGCGGAGTACTTGTGCCATTTTGATAAGTTCGACAATTGTAGTTCTCAGCAATTTTACTGATCCGTTCCTAACAATGCAAAATATAAATGAAAGATATCATTAATCATTTCATTACGAACTCAAAAATGAAATATATGGTATATATGTGTACCTCCAGTGCCATAAAGTGCCGAATGTTTGACTCAAGCAAAGGAATGGTGGTTTTATCTTTAACCAGTCGGGTGGTTAAAAAAGGCCATGACCGGTAAAGTCCATCGTATTTGAGGTCCATAACGTACGATTCCACCAAATCTCCTGAAGATATCAGGTATGGTTAAATATACTTAATTAACTGAAGTGAAATCAAGCTTTATCAATTACAAGCGCACATACCTTGATTTGTTAACATTGCCGTTTCTTCCGGACCACCTTTCGTTCTTAACAGCTGATTGATGGATTTACGCCCTCGCAATTGTACTTTCAATCTATCTTTTTGTTGTTGGAGAGGTGTAAATCCGGGTGGCTTAATCTCTGAATTCAAAATAGGGATTTCATTGACCAAGCACGAAAAATCCGGCCTTGTTGCAGTACCAGCTGTCGCATGATTCAACTGAATATTGTACTCTTTGTATGAACTAGTAAAAAACAGTGGTCGAATGATTGGATGTAACAACTTGAAACAGTGCTCATCTTCTGATGTTTTGGTCGGGGCAATGTCAGGAACACTGCTACACCTGTTATGCGCGAAAAAAAAATTAAGAGGCAGATCCGATCTCAATTTACACGCTTTATAAGATGAACGCTTACATGTCGTTAAAGATTCGAGAAACAGCTCGGCCGATTTCAGAATCGCCTATGGACAAAAAGGCGGTCTTTCCTTCCAAGGAATCGGCCGATGCACTCCGTAAAGAAGATAAAATTTCCGTTGGCAGAATTGAATCAGCTACAATGTAAGGATTCTCACGTATAATCGTTTGCCATTCCCGGTTAGTGAAAATATGAGAGGGATAAGGACAATGCAAGCTTAAAACAATTATCGAAGACAATGCTCTATCAAAGCATAAATAGAAATCGTTAGCATAATACATTATCCAATATTATTACATCCAAAATACTTACAGCACTTCATGAAAGTCACTCCATTTTAGTCCATAAATCTTCGCTTTCTCAAGTGTTTCTATCTGGTAATTTTTGAATCTTTGCGATACATTGACCGTACCGACCTTCCACTAAAAGCGGAAAGCAAATTGTTAAGATATGTAGAATAAAAACACCAGAGTCTTTATATGTGGCATACCTCATTTGATTGTTCCTGTAACAACTCCATTTCAACACTTGTGAAATCAAAATTTATTTCTCCGTCATCATCAGGCCCTACATCAGAAGAAGGCAACTGCAAGGAAGAATTTTCACTTTTATTTCTCGATTTCTGGGTCTTAGTCCTTGACGTGTTTTTCTTTTTCGTCTAAATATAGTTAAATATACATAAGTTTTTATGTTATCTTAGCTTTACCATCTATAATTTTTTTCCCACCTTTTTATGATTTGGCAATTCGACTTTTTCATTTAACATTTCCTGAGAGTACTTATATTCAGTAATCTGTTAGCATTAGAACAAATCACAATTTTGAAATAGTCCGAACTTTGATTGCTAAAAACATTACTACCATACCTCATCTTCCTCATTCTGATTAGTTGCATTCTTCAGATCCTTTTCATGCTGAGATACATAAAACGGATTATTGCCAGCATCTACGGTCATTTCTCCCTCATTAAACTTCCGTTTAAGGGCTATTATTTCGCATCAAGAGAAAAGATTAAAATATATAATACAGGATGTAATGAAAGACGAGTTGATATATTACCAGGTTGTATAGTCTCCCGCGTAGTGTTAGAAAGTGCTTCGCTAAAATCAGTCTGCAGGCCTAACACTTGGTGAATTATGTTTTTTGAATTTGTAATTGATGCCTTTCTTAATGCTTCCATAACAGTAGAACTGTTGTCCCAAAACTCTTTGACTTTGGACGATTTTATATCCTTCTAATATATGTAGAAAAAAAGAACAGATTGCCGTGATACCTTTAGACTCATCCAAAGGTAAAAAGTGCACCCAAAAGACTCATCTCTCAGGAATTCAGACTCATCCTAGCACTTTCGGCAATTAGTGAAGAGACCACAACAAAAAGCATTCTCCAGACTCATCCAGAGAAGTTTCGGACTCATCCTAGCCTTTGCTACAATCTCAAAACTTGCTACAATCAAAACAAACAAAAAAAAATTCCAAACCTCAAATGAACTAATACAATTCGAGACCAGCTTTTCTACGAGTTCACTGCTACAAGACTTTAGTAGTTGCGGTTTGAGATGAAGTTTCTCTAAACAAACTTTATATAAAAGGTGTTCGTTCTGTTTATCCCCGAAACTTTTTGCGAACACTATACTCCACTGTAAGAAATCGATCAAGCTCCACATTTCATTGCTTTCGAAATAAGGAAGTCTAGATTCCCAACGCATCTTCATAGGTAGTCATGATTTAGAGGTTTAAAAAAAAATACTACCAGTCATGGGACATGTCCGAATAGTGATGATCAGCATGCTGATCACGTCAGTTACTCCTATTGATGCAAATTTCCCTCACATGATTTATATGCAAAAAATGCACTTGAGAAGTTTTTCTATCAAGTCGTATGAGCCTTTTGACATCCTCTTCCT